CTTACGGGACAGTGTTTCAGTGTAGAAAGATGACCAGGTTCTAGGGATGGATGGTGCTGACGGTCGCACAACAGCATGAAGCTACTTCATGCTACACTTACAAATGGTTAAGATAGTAAATTTCATGAGCGTTTTATCACAATTACAAATAGATTTTGTTAGGAATTCCTGCCTCTTGGGATTTTCCTAGAAAGGCCACAGAGGGCAAAGCACATAGCATGTTAGAAGGTGGTAGGTGCTATGGAGGGAATGAGTCAGGGAAGGGGTGGGGTGGTCAGGGATAGCAAGGGAGGAGTGGGAGGACTCTGCTACCATAGTGACTGGGCAGATGGATGCCACACCAGCGCCACTTCCAGAGGCTCTCAGGGAGGTCAGGTCAGGCTGGCCTTGGCCCCCCACCATAATGACCCAACCTCAGCCATAACCCATAGCCTCCACATGGCCCTTGTATAACTCCCATACCAGGAAGCTGCTGCCCCGACCTGAGACTGAGGAAGAATTTCTGCGCGTGTGCCGCCTGAAGGAGAAGGAGCTGGAGGCGCTGCCCTGCCTGTACGCCACGGTGGAGGCTGACATGTGGGGCAGCGTGGAGGAGCTGCTCCGTGTCATCAAAGACAAGATCGCCGAGGAGCAGCGCAAGACCATCTGGGTCGACGAGGACCAGCTTGTGAGGCAGGGACACTCTTGAGTCTGAAACAAGTCCTAGGGGGCAAAAGGGCATCTAGCCACCCAGACCTGGGGGCTCTGTCCCAGTCCATGGTGGAGCCCTTCCAGGGACCCCCGGGGAGAGAGCTTGTTTGACACATGAGGCTGACCGGGCCCAAATGTTAAGCCCCTCTGGCATTAGCAGGGAGACAGGATCTAGTAAAGAACACAGAGCCAGAGATCTGAGGCCAGCCAACCCCTCACACCAGAGCAGCAGTTGAATGTAATGCGTGAGACAGGTGTGCCACCTGCAGGGCAGGGACCCAGACAGCCAGGGTGCACACCAGCCTGGGGACGCACAATCGGCACATTCCCAGCAAGGCAGGTTGCGGGAGGAGAACTGTGCCAGGCTATTATTTTTCTTGCATTAAAATTTCTCCATTTCTTTGTTTTCAAACTTCTTTAAAAATTCTAATAGTTTGCAGAGGTTTTCAACTCTTGCCACCTTTCTACCCTGAAAAACACTCCCAGCAAGCTTATTTTAGGCCCAGAGAGGGGTCAGATCCCACATCCCGGTTTCCCAGAACAGGCCTAGTTTATACCTGCATTTGGGACATTACTGATAGCACCTCTTTTGACTCAGATGCATCCTGATTTGGGATTTGGATGATATATTACGTGGCTACCCAGGGAAAAGCCAACCTTTCAGCAGCTGCTTGGGAAGTCTGGCTGGTGATGGCCCTGCATCCCCTAACTGCGGCCAAGGCCAGGCCCCTCCCACCCAGCACACTCCATGTTTCTCTATCTCCTGTGCATTTATTGTTCCTGAAATGCAGCTCACTTTGTCCTCCAGACCAGGAAAGACCACGTGGGGTATGACCCTCCAGTGGGTTTGCTCCCCTCTGCACAGGAGCTAGAGGAGTGCAGAAAAACTGAGCTGCCCTCCACAGCAGGTAGCAGAGGGTTCCAGAGCCATCCTTATCACTGACCCCTCCTTGATGCAAACTCGCCCGAGTATGGACCCAGTGACCTTTGGCCAGACACCATGCTGCAGATTCATGAAGCTGGTAGGAACTATGGGAGCAACTGCTAGTTGACAACCCAATAGCCACAATCCCTTTCTTCCTAACAGAATCCTGATTTTATTCTGGAAATCTGTATACACAGTTAAAGGTATTTCCTAACCTCCTTTGCAGTTAGGGTAATCAAAGAAATGTAAGGGAAGATCTGGGGGAGAGACAACAGTCAGTTCCCTTTCCAGATCCCTTCTTGGGATACAGACATGATGGCAATAGCTCCAGCAATCATCAGGGATCTTGAGGTGACAGTGAGGATGGAAACCCTGCACAGAAGATAGTGGGAAAGAAGGTGATGATACTTGGAAGTCCAGGACTGCTGCTTGAGTTTCTTTTACAAGATACAGAAATAAATGTTTATCTTGTGTTAAGTGGTTGTTAACTCAGTTCTGTTACTTGCAGCCTCGAGCAATTTCTAACATATACAAGTATAGGAGCAACCATTTCCTTTATATCAGGTTATCAGCAAAGTCACGATTTACTTTTCTGTGTTTTTCTGTGCAAAAATTCATCACGACTTTTTCTGACGACCCAATAGTTTCAAATACTCTAGACTGATTCTCCACTATTTTTGCCACATAGTCAAGGCATGAGTTATTAATTAAAAAATGCACTCTCTCTCTCTCTCTCTCTATATATATATATAGAGAGAGAGAGAGATCCCACATGTGTGTCTATATATATATATAGATATAGATATAGATATATATATATATAGACACACACCTACATACATACATATGCACTATGTGGCCTGTAGATTTTCTGCTATTTCAACCTTTAGAATACAGGTTAGCACCACAAAGCCCCCAGAGAGGAGAGTGAAGGGATTGGGGGTGACAGAGGTTGGCTATTTCACTGGACTCCCATGTAATCAACTGCGGTTCAAGTCCCGAACCCGGTGGCTTAAACTTACACCAGGCGCATGTGCGTGCATGCCCAAGATCCTGAGAGGAGAATGGAGGAGAAGGGATTGTGGTGTGGCCATCCCCCCTGGGGGGTGATTTCTCACTTTCTGTCTGTCTCTCTCTTGTCTTTCTGGCGAGCGCATGCGCCCTATAGCAAAAATCTCTCCAAAAAAGGGGGGGGGTTTCTAGGAGGGCACCTTTTTCTCTCCTCCCTCCTTGATGGTCCATCTCACCCCCACTGGGTCCAAGTTTGCAGGGAATGGGACTTCATCCCTTCAAGAGCCAGTTAACAATGCTTCTTCCCCCAAGTCAGCTTCCAGAAACAAGCTGGATGTACGGGGCCTGGCGAGGCCATGATTCTGAAGTCCAGCTGCAGTTATTTAGGGCCAGATCAACTGCCACATGAGAAGATGCAAGGGCTGGAAGGACTCCTACTTCTACCTCGTTAAAGCCTTAAGTTAAACAGTAAATTTCCCTGAGCCGAGGCCATTGCGTTTCCACTTAGAAGCCGTACTTCCTTGTAAGTACTTAGTGCCAAGGGGACAGACATGACTGGAAAAGAGTCCCAGATCGAAGCCTGTTGATTTATTTATATTTATTTCTTTAACTTCAGAATTCTCGGATTTACTGGGCAAAATAACCAAACCCTCAGCTTGCATGTAATTTGTGGGGACAAGGGGGTGAGCCAGACCATGCATGGGAAAAGATATCTGAAAAGAATGTGTCCGTTTTTCTTTCCCAAATGATTTCATGCAGGCTCCAGAATGCAGGGGTGTGGAGTGGACACATGCTAATAAGGGCGAGGGGGTCTTAAAGACAAGGGTTGAGGGTAGGAATGAGGTCCCTGCTATCAGAGGAGGCGAGATTGACACTGTGGGGGGTCAGTTCATAGGAGGATTTCAAAGGAGACCCCTGACACCATCAACTTTAGTTCCAGGCTATTTGTCATCTGCCAACAACCCCTATGGCTTCCTGGAGAAGGGCTTGGGGAGAGCTGGGGGGACCACACAGAGGTGCTACACAGCTGGCTGCAGCTCCAATTATAGCATATGCGTCTAAGCGCTGAATTTTACTTTAGAGCTTGCCCACGGTGCATCTTGAGAGGCGCAGTGGGGCTTGCAGCCTGTACAGTGAGCCTGGAGCCTGAGGCTCTGGAAAGGAGGCTGCACCAGGCTGATAATACCAGATGGTGCTTGGTCCACCTCTACAGACGCCAGAAACACAGCCCAGAGTCACTGAGAGGTGAGCCCCAGAAATTGTATCCTACAAGTAAATGCATACTTTTATGAGAAGAAACTCCAGATTTCAAGATTCCCAATGGATCCTGTAATCCCAAAAAGGTAGGCAAATATGAGCACCTATTTTTTTCTAAAAAGGCCAAGCACCTTATAAATGTTATTTTACTTGCCTACCTCACAACTCCTCCATTTTATATAAAAGACAATTGAGGCTCAGAGAGGTTAAGTAACTTGACCAAGGTCACACATCATGTCTGGCTGATTTCCAAGCTTCCGTTTGGATCTTCTAATTCACAGGTGCCGTTTGGTGCCACTGGGTTGTGCCTCTCTGCTCTGCTATGACTGGGAAAGTAGTGAGTGTTCCGGGCAGTGGCTGGACTGGGGCTGAGGTCTCTCAGCACAATGGGATTGACAAGATGAAGCTGTCTTAAATGAGGCAGCCTGCTTATGCCCCAGCATCACCACCCCAGCAGCCTTGACCTAAGGAAACAATGATTCTGAGAAACGCTATTTTTCTCACTCAACCCAGAAAGGGGCTAATTTGGGGAGCGGAGCCCTGGCATCGTGCCACCATGCCGCCCTCAAAGCCGCTGCATCTGCTGGCCTCATTTTCCTGTAAGTGCCTCTATCTGGCTTGGTGTCCTGCTCAGCCCTGCCTCGCTGCCTCTCCTAAAGTTTTCTTTGGCAGATCTGCCAAGGTCAAGGATGCCGCAGTGGTTTGGTCAGTAGACGGTTCCCAACACCTGCCCTATGCCATCTGCTGTGTATTCATTGTTTTAAGGGAGATTCTTGCTATAGGGTGTATGCTGGCATGACACAGAGAGAGCGAGCAAAAAATCACCCCCTGGGGAATGGCCATGCCGCAATCCCTTCTCCTCCAATCTCCTCTTGGGAGTTTGGGCATGCACATACATATGCCCAGCCTGAGTGTCAAGCTGGAATCCAGGACTTGAACCACAGTTGATCACATGGGAGTCTAGCACCTAACCAGTACGCCACCTGCTGGCCCCACTGTGTATACATTTTTAATAAATGACACATTCATGAGTTCAAAGCCACACTATAACAGGCTGCATATTTAAAATACCCCATCTCTCAATGCCCTCCTCCTTCAGTACATACCAGAAACCATGGTAGACCTTCTGGGGTTCTTCACACACATACTAGCCATATGTGTTTTCATTTCCCCCTTTGTTACACAGCACATAGTATGGTATACACACCACTCTCTTCTTTTTTTAGGTTTTTGCCAGAGAGCGCATGTGCTCACTAAGAAGAGTCAGAGAAAGGGAAAGATAAATAATTCCCCATGTTGGAGGTGGCCATACCACAATCCCTCCTCCTCCTCCATTATCATCTCAGGATTTTGGACATGCATACCCATGCACCAGGCTTGATTTTCAAATCTCTGGGTCTGGGACTCGAACTGCAGTTGACCATGTGGGAGACCAGTGCCTCAACCACCACACCACCTATTGGCCCCTACACCACTCTCTACACCACTCTGTTTTTTTATTATTATTATTATTCTAACCACATATCTGGGAGCTCTCTCCTTATGCACATTTCTAAGTGTTCATTCTTTGGCTATCGTGTGGTATTCCACAGATGGCTATTGCCTCTTTACTTTGTCAACCGTTGTGGATGAAGATCCAACTGTTTCTAGGGAGTAACTGCCTGGCGACATTTCGCACAGAGGCTCACTGCAGGCTAACTCCTCCAAGAGGGTCAATGCACTGGTTTCCCTGGAGGGGGCCATATAGCCCCCATAGAGCAAGGCTCGTGTCCACAGGCTGGGGCTCTGGTAGCCCATGGCCCAGGCACGCTTGCAGTTCTGGTCCAGGGTTCTTCCATTTCGGCTTGTCTGACCCATAGGGGATATTTGTGTGTAGGTGGTGAATGTGCCTGTCACCCTCCAGGCCTTGATTACCCTCCAGGCCTCGGTTATACTCAGAATTCTAAAACCTGCTCCAGGGACTGCTCTTCTCTGCTATGAAATGATGTGTGTGATTTGTGAGCCAGGGTTCCTCCTAGGGGGTCTAGGGAGACACTTGGACCCCAACCCCATCCCTAGAAGATGCAGACTAATCCCCTCCTCTTCCG